ATGAAGTGGAAAGATTTAGCAGGAAAAAGGCTAAGTGCAGGCAAATGAGACTAATTTAGTTTGGGAAACTTGGTCAGCATGGACAAGTTGGACTGAAGGTCTATTTCTGTGCTGTATGATTCTAAGACTCTACACCTTATGGCTGACTCCTGAGCCCGGCTCAAAAATATTTACATGTTAAGACTGAATTGAAGATGACCCTGACTAACTTTTTGCCAAGTAGGCATCTTCTTTCCTTTCATTGTTCTGAAGTGGACAGCAGAACAGTTAGTCAGGCTTTCACAACTCCAAATGGTATCAGCAACATGGTCTTTGTATAAAGCTGTTACTCACTTAAAAAGGAAACCTAACAGTGTGTAGCGATGTAGGGTGGTATTAGTAACAGCCCTGAAATTTAAAATCTGAGCAAGAAAACTGAAAATATGGCCATGCCACTCAAATAAACTGTAGATTATGTATTCTAATCTCATTAAATCATGTTGACTAATGTGAAGCTATTAGTCATGTTTCCCTTGGAGGACAAAAATATAATTTGTGAAGACTTTGTTTATTTCTATATTGTACAGAAAGAAAACTATTGTGCTGCAAACTCCAGCATTTTCATTTTGCATACACTTCTACTACGTCATAAAGTTGTGACTCTTGACAAATGGTCATTAAATCAATGCTTGTAGAAACTTCCACTCTAGGTTTATAAAAATTGATTTCTGTAATCGTTTCTGTAGTTACAAATTGTAATATCTGGGATACAGAAGGTATTTAAATATCTTTCTGTTATTCATTGTCACAAACTTTAAAAACAAATTTGCAGAGGAAAGCTAAATCTTAATAAACTGAACAATATGCATACTTTTGTTTTGAACCAGACACCAAGAAGATACAGTTCTGCACATTACAATGCAATTCAAACTGCATATCTTGTAATATTTGAAAGAAAGGATCTCTGTGATTTTTTTAAACAAAGCTTAAAAGGAAGACAGGACCAAAATCAACACACTTTGCCGTTTAGTCCTGAAAGCATGGCAACTCAAGTATTAACAGCAGAAATGTCAGTCTCAACATCTTTAATCTAAGTATGCAATTCGAATGTAAGTCACAATTTCAGTCACAAAATTCAGTCACTCACCCAAGAAATTGGAGCTTTACAGCAGGAAGACAATGGAAACAACTACTGTTAAAGAATCTGTTCAGAGTTCCCCGATATCACAAAAATGTTTTTGCGAATCAAGAAGCTATTACTCATTTAGTAGCGAGAAACCACATGGATGGTTTCGCCCACTAAATGACATCAGTCGACGTTAATTATTTTTAGCTGTTGTATCAAGCATCTGAGTGCAGCACAAATAATAAACTAAGAAACAGTGAATCCACCAACATGCACAGTTTTGAAAATTTGGAAGAATCAGCCTTGTTCCTCACTGAAACCTCAATCTTTCCAGTTTCGCATATACTGATTTTTCAAGACTGTGACTATTTCATACTTGTATTATGATTCCAGGGCACCCCAGTGCTTTCCATCCATTTATTAAATGAAGATTGTAAGAATAGCAGAGGGTCAATGTATCACATGCTGATCAGGCTTTGAGATTATCGTGGAATCTGTCCCAGGATTTGTTCAGCTGATGATAGAAAATACCACTTCAATGAACTGAGTCAGAAAATGAACTTTTGTTAGGGTGATGTTGGAGAGGGAATATACTGTAGTCTTTGTCTTTCAAAATAATAAGTTCTTTTGTTCTTCTACTTCAAATTCATGTATTTCACTTCAGCTGATCTGGAGAAAATTAGAGCATCTGAGATAACAATTTGCAAGAACAGCAGTCAAAACCTTGTTACCACCAGGCATAATTTTCTAATGCACTCTTGGATGATCTAGCAGATTCTACCCTCCTTAAACTTGAGGTAATCCAAAAACTTTTTGCATGTGCCATTACACCAGAGAAACAAGCTGGACAAACTTGGTCACCTTCCAAACCTTGTTTTTTCTTTATTCTTAGATAATCATGGAATCCCTACAGTGCAGAAAGAGGCCATTTGGCCCATCGAGTGTGCTCCAATCCTCCGAAGAGCATTCCACCACAGACCCTACCCTATTCCCCAACCCGACATGTACCATGGCCAGTCCACTTAACTGCACATTCCTGGACACTACGGAGCAATTTAGCATGGCCATTCCAGCTAATCTGCACATCTTTGGAGTGTGGGAGGAAATTGGGAGCACCTAGAGGAAACCACACACATACACACACAGAACATGTCAACTTCACACAGTCACCCAAGGCTGGAATTAAACCCAAGTCCCTGGCACTGTGAGGCACCAGTGCTAACCACTGTGCAACCGTGCCACCCATATCTGTAGCCATTTTCCTTCTCGAAGATAGTATTTGAAGTTTGGGAGGTGCTGTTGAAGAAGCCTTGGTGAATTTCTACAGTCCACCTTGTAAAATGTACACACTGCAATTCTTTAATGGAAATGGGCAGAGCTGGCAAGACTAGCATTTGTTGCCTATCCCCAATTGCCCCAGAACTAAGTGCTTTGCTCAGCCATTTGAGAGGCAGTTATGTGTCAACCATATTGCAGTGGGTCTGGAGTCATGTGCGTGCCAAATGAGGTAAGAACAGTAGATTTCCTTTCCGAGGGCATTAGTGAACCAGATCGGTTTTTATGACAATCAATGATGTTTCATGGTCATCATTACTGAGAATGTCAATCATCACCTGGAAACTGAACTGGAGTAGCCATATAAATATTGAAGCTGGAAAAGCAGGCCAGAGGCTAGGAATCCTGCAGTGATTAACTCATGAGTAACTCACATCCTGACTCCCCAAAGCCTGTCCATAATCTACAAGGCACAAGTCTGGAGTGTGATGGCATACTCCCCTGTTGTCTGGATGAGTGCAGCTCCAGCAACACGAAGAAGCTTGACGTTATTCAGGACCAGGCAGCTTGCTCGGTTTGTGCCAAATCTACAAATATTCACTCCCTAACTATCATTTCTCAGTCACAGTAGTGTGTACCTTTTACAATACAGTGTGGAGCTGGAGGAACACAGCAGGTTAGGCAGCATCAGAGGAGCAGGAGAGTTGACATTTCAGGCCTGGACCCTTCATCAGGACTTCTGATGCTGCCTGACCTGCTGTGTTCCTCCAGCTCCACACTGTATTGACTTTGATTCCAGCATCTGCAGTTCTTGCTATCTCCGTGTGCCTTTTACAAGTTGGACTGCAGAATTTCACCAAGGCTTCTTCAACAGTACCTTCCAAACCCTTGACTACTATCATCTAAAAGGACAAGGGCAACAGATACATGCAGATGAAACCAGTTCAAAGTTCCCCTCTAAGTCACTCACCATCCTGACTCGGAAATATATTGTTGTTCCTTCAGTATCACTGGGTCAAATCCTGGAACTCCCTCCCGAATGGCATGTGGGTCCACCTACAGCAAAAGGACTGCAGGAGTTCAAGAAGGCAGGTCACCAACATTTTCTCAAGGGCAACTCAGAATGCGCAACAAATGCTGACCTGGCTAGCAATGATGACATCACATGAATGAATTTTTTAAAAACCTGGCATTCACTTGCAGATTTATTTAAATTCTATCAGTTGCCATGATGGGATTTGAATAATTTGTTATGTTTGTTGTTACAATTGTGGGCTTTGTAAGATTATGTTTTGGAATTGTGTCTTTAACGGGTCATATGACCAGTTCCAAAGTCTGCTTGACAACAGGCCTTGGATGGTAAAAAGACCATAAGATGTAGAAGCAGAGTTAGGCCATTCAGCCCATCGAGTCTGCTCTGCAATTTAATAAGATCATGCCATTTTCTGTCCCATAACCCTTGATTCACTTTCTGATTAAAAGTCAATATCAGCCTTGGATATAATTAATGATCCACATTGTACAGTCCTCTGCAATAAAGAATTCCACATATTCACTACTGAGAGAAGAAAATCCTCCTCATCTCTGCCGTAAATGGGTCTAATAACTTTGTGATGATGCCTCTAGTATTGGATACAAAAACGGAAATTGCGAGAAAATCTCAGTAGGTCTGGTAGCATATATGGAGAGAAATCAGAGTTAACATTTCGGGTCCAGTGATCCTTCTACAGAACAAATAAGTTCTTCAATTCACAACTTCTTCAGTTACTGATACTGATATATTACGCATTACATCCATACAAGAGGGATTGTGAGAGAGCCATAGGAGAAGCACATGTGAGGCCTCATGCCTAAATCCTAAACTGATCTGTATTATTCTGCTCAATGTTAACTCTTCTAAATCCTTTCAGATCCACGTATAATGTTATCCTCTGCGTCCCAGTAAACGTTTATGCTTCAACCAACATCACACAAAAAGAGACAAATAAAACCCAAACTACTGCAGGTGCTGGAAATCAGAAACGAAAAACAGAAATTGCTGGAAAAAAAAGGGTCTGGCAGCATCTGTGGAGAGAGAAACTGAGTTGACGTTTGGAGTCCAGTGGTTGTTCTAGTGGCCTGTTCTGAAGAAGGGCCACTGGACCCGAAAGGTTAACATTGCTTTCTCGCCAGAGATGCTACCAGACTTGCTGAGTTTTTCCATCACAAAAAGAAAGAGGTTTTCCGGGCATGGCTGAATTTTGGGATCTTGCTATTCACATTGGCAAGCAAAAGTATTTTGCAAGCAGGGTCACGTTTGACACGAAACACAAACTCCCGTTTCCCTCCCTTCACAGATTTCCCCTGAGACGGGATCCCTGCTTGTTTCTCTTTAATCGGGGAATATGCCATGTTCTCCCTGTCGGCCCGGGCCCGGACCCACACCCCGATGCTGCAGGCTCCAGGCTGAGCTTGGTCGGCTGGGCCCCGTTACTAGCAGCCGTTGCCAGGGAAAGGGAACAATCGACAAGTGAACAACCAAACTTCACCCATACCGGTGAGGCGGGGCGTGGGCACCGCAACGTGGGGATTGACAGGCATTCTGACCAATAGAAACGCGGGCCTCGTCCACCGCACCCAATGGGAGGCGCCATCCGCCAGCAGGTTCGGTTGAGAGACGAGTAACTGGGCAGTCTGTGAGTGAGCAGGAGTAGCAGGAACAGCTGTGGTGAGTTAATATGTATATATAATGGTGAGGAAAATGGTTAGATATCATATGATGAAGGTTACATCTTTAACTCGCTGGTATCTCTGAAAAGTTTTATTTGTTAGTCGGCCTCAGTGTCTTTATTTATTCTACGTATGTATATGTATAAAAAGATGTGAAAAGCACATGCAGGTTTTGCTTCTTGCATCTGATGCTGATGAAAGATAGGCCGCACCTAGCAGCAGAGCGATGAAACGAACCAGTAGCAATGCTTCTGTCTGCCGTCATCTGTTTATTTGTTTGTTTATCTATTTATTGTGTTTGCTTAGCAATAATTGTTGGAATGCAATCCGGCACAAATTCTTTCACTCTGTACTTTTTGGAGTGTCAAAAATGCTTCCTCAACCCAAGTGCTTTCAGCTAGCTTTTAAGAATTACATCCTGCAAAGCAAGCACAGATTCTCCTGTTACAGATGTCCATGCCATCACTGGGTGTGTGGATGTATGTACTTAATTATTGTGTTGTGGGAAATTAAAATTGTGAATTGCTGAAGCCAGATCTCTCCAGCTGAGCCAATCTGCACATGCATGAGATGCTTGACTCTTGCCACCAAGCATATAAGCTTCAGCAAGGCACCAAAAGAATAATATGCATCAAAAAACTGGAAAGTTATACTTGTGCCATCATCTCAGGGTTTTATTTGGATTAATGGTAATGCATTTATTCAGTATGATTGACTTGTTTGATTCTCTGTGTAGAATTGCAGAATAGTGCAACATAGAAGGAACCCATTTGGCCCCTTGCATCTGTGCCCAGTCTTCCAATCTCTTCCCCAACATCTCTGCAATTTTTAACCTTCAAATATTGATCCAAATGCCTTTTTGAAGGCTCTTACAGAATCAGGAGCCATTGCCCAAATTAGGCAGTGCATTCCAAGTTAGTTGTTCTGATCGTTGGTTATGTAAAACAGTTTTCTTTCTGTTGCCTTTGATTCTTTTTCCAACTACATTAAATCTATGCCCTCTACTTATTGGTTTCTCTTCAACCCTAGCAAACAGGTTCTCTTTATTTACACTCTTTAAACATTTCATTATTTTAAAAAATCAGATCTGTTTTAACCTTCTGTGTTCAAAAGGAAGAAAAACCGAACTCCTACTTTCTAACTGTAACCCTTTATCCTTGGAACTCTGGTAGCTAAATCTTTCTGTGTTGTCCAAAACTTTCACACCCTTTCTAAAGTGTGGCACTCAGCACTGGATACACTAGCCTGCTTGGAATAGATAACAAAGTGTGGAGCTGTAGGAACGCAGCAGGCCAGGTATCAGACCCGAAACTTCAGCTTTCCGGTACCTCTGTGCTGTCTGGCCTGCAGTGTTCCTCCAGCTCCAAACTTTGTTTCTCTGACTCCAGCATCTGCAGTTCTTGCTATCTCTGCTTGTCTTTTCTATAGGTTTAGACTTTTGTATTTTGTGCCTCTACTTGTAAAGCTGAAGATTTGATGTACTTTTTAAATGATTTTTATTTGTGCAAAAATGCTTGGTTGTTGACTTAAATACTTTAAACTATATTCATGTTAATTGGCTTGAATAGTGTTCATAGGACCCCTATAGCGTGGAAACAGGCCCTTTGGCCCAACAAGTCCACACTGACCCTTGGAGCATCCCACCCAGACCCATCCCCCTATAACCCATCTAAGCTACTCATCCTTGAGCACTACAGGCAATTTAACATAGCCAAGGCACCTAACCTGCACATCTTTGGACTGTGGGAGGAAACCGGAGCACCCGGAGGAAACCCACGCAGACACAGGGAGAATGTGCAAACCCACACAGGTAGTCGCTCGAGGCTGGGAATTGAACCCAGGTCCCTGGCGCTGTGAGGCAGGAGTGCTAACCACTGTGCCGCCCCTGGGCTACATGATGGATCAGCAGGGGTGGCTCAGTCATTAGCACCACTGCCTCACAGCGCCAGGGACCAAGGTTCAATTCCAGCCTCAGACAACGGTCTGTGTGAAGTTTGCACATTCTCCCTGTGCCTGTGTGGGTTTCCTCCAGGTGCTCTGGTTTCCCCACCCCCACAGTCCAAAGATGGGCAGATTAGGCAGATTGGCTATGCTAAATTGCCCCTAGTGTCCAGGGGTGTGCAGGCTAGGTGCATTAGCCATGGGAGGTGCAGGGCTACAGGGATAGGTTAAGGGGGTGGGTCTGGGTGGGGTGCTGTTTGGAGGGTTGGTGCGGACCTGCTGGGCCAAATGGCCTGCTTCCACATTGTAAAATCATAGAATCCCTGAAGTTGGAAATTGTGAAATGTGTACATAATGTTCTTTTTATGTATTTAAATTGTTGATGAAGTAATGCAGAACTTTAAAATTCACAAAGCCATCTGGTTTTTCTTGCTTTGGTTGCATGTTTTAAAACTTCTTCTGTAATTTTCTACGTTGTTAATTTTAAGATATTATTGTTGCATACTGTGGACAGTTTTCATGGATTATAGTCTTCCTTTAGGTTGATCAGAGAAAACTGCAACTTGCTCGAATGGAAGTGAATGGCAATACTAGATACTCAATGAATATCTTCATTCATTTTCGTTGTGAAGGTTTAACTTCATTATGCAGATAGTACTGAGATGCATTTGGACCACCATTTTGGAATGAACCTTTGTAATTTGTGTTTTGTCTTCCTGACCATTCTCTGTTGAATTGGAGACTCTCTTTTGGTAAGAGAGAGTCTTGCTTCCTATCTTGTCACAAGAGTTAGTTAGTATTTTGATCAACTCAAGTTTGTATGTGGTCAAAATTATAGAGGATGTCTTTTAGTTTCTGCCTGTTCTCCAGAGGTCGAGCAATGGTCCAGCTTTCCAGGCGAAGAGTAAGTGACTTCTAAATTTACTGCTTTTAATTAAATCAGTTATGTGATTAAATAACTTTTATAATAATTTTTAAGTAAATGTTAATTACATCATTGAATGGGCCAGCATGTATTGCTCATTTTGGAGTTGTCCTGAAAAAGATGATAGTGGGCCTCTAGTTTAAGCCAATGCAGTCCATTTGATGTAAGTAGACCCATAATTCCATTGGAGAGAGAGGTCCAGTGATTGTGAAGGATGCTGAGAGGCTTGGAGGGGAACTTGAAGGTGGTGGTGTTCCCATGTATCTGCTGCCCTTGTACTTGTAGATGATATTGATAGTGGGTTTGGAAGGTGGTGTCGACAGATTCTTGATGAATTTTGACAGGGTATGTTGTCAGAGCTATATTCACCCAGATAAGTGGGGAGAATTCCATTGCACTCCTAAACTTGATTTGTATTTGGGAGACAGATTTTTGGTAGTCAAGAGGTAAGTTATTCCTAACGACTATGTATATGGGTGATTCAGTTTAGTTTCTAGTCAATGCCTATTCCACATTGCCAGACCTATAAATTCCTGACTGAATGATTTTTATCGTGCATAAGGAGAAAGCTGTGGATGAGATCCAAATCTGCTACACGTTATTTGATTAATGCTCCAGCTTTGAGTTTCTGATTGATTTGATTCGTTTTCTGAGGGAACCTGTTGTGTCATATACATACAGGGTGAGCATGAGGATCTTTTACATCAAGCACTATGGATAAATACATAAAGGTGAACAAAATTGGAGAAGGATCGTTTGGAAAAGCTATTCTCGTCAACTCGAAAGAAGATGGCAGACAGTATGTTATCAAAGAAATCAACATCTCCAGGGTGAGTCAATCTTGAGGCCTGTTCAAATGTAACTTGATGTGTCAGGGTGGTACTTATTGAAAGACCTGTTCCACTCCTTTGTTCTCAGATGTCAAATAAGGAGAGGGAAGAGTCAAGGAGAGAAGTTGCTGTATTGGCAAATATGAAACATCCAAACATTGTACAGTATAAGGAATCATTTGAAGGTGAGAAATAAACTTAAGCTGGTCACGACTGTATATATGTTTTGTTTGAGAGTTCTGAGGGCAGTGGAAAAGCGTGTGCATCAGAATCTGTATTTCAGGTCCAGATTTCTTCAGCTGTTAGAAAGTTGTACTTGCTTCAACTTGAATTGTTTAAATTGTCCAGTGAGGAAGGCGATATTGAAAAGCTGGAGCACCTTACACTGATGTTTGCTCAAAATATTGTTTTGTGAGGCGTTTTGGCAACAATGTGAGGGACACAGTGTAATGTAACAGAGTACATGCAATGTACAGTAAGGACGCATAATGCTTGCTTGTTAACCCGGCAGCCTGTAACTGTGCTGCAGCAGCCAGTAATTTAAATGTAAAATCTGGAAGAAAAGAAACCCTTATTTGCTTGTGCGATGTGGGTGTCACTGGTTGGGCCAACATTTATTGCCTGTCCCAAGTTGCCCTTGAGAAGGTGGTGAACTGCCTTCTTGAACTACTGTGTTGTAATTTGACCCACAGTGCCCTGGAGGGAATTGCAGAATTTTTACCCAGTGACAGTGAAGGACCGGTGATATATTTCCAAGTCAGGATAGTGAGTGGCTTGGAGGGAGACTTGCAGGCGGTAGTGTTCCCATATGTTTGCTGGCCTTGTTCTTCTAGATGGAAGTGGTCATGGGTTTGGAAGGTGCTGTCTAAGGATCTTTGGTGAATTTCTGCAATGCATCTTGCGGATAGTACACACTGCTGCTTTTGAGTGTTGGTGGTGAAGGATTGGAGATGTAGTATCAATCAATCAGGCTGCTTTATCCTAGATGGTGTCGAGCTAGAGTTGCTGGAGCTGCAGTCATCAAGGCAAGTGGAGAGTGTTCCATCACACTTCTGACTTGTGGCTTATAGATGGGTGACAGACTTTGTGGAGTCAGGAGGTGAGTTATCCACTGCAGTACTCCTAGTCTGTGATGTACTCCTGTAATCACTGTGTTTATGTGATGAATTCAGTTGAGTGTCCGGTCAATGGTAACGCCTAGGGTGTTGATAGTGGGGGATTCTATGATGCTAACGCCATTGAATGTCAAAGGCTGGTGATTAGATTCTCTGTCTTTGGAGGTGGTCATTGCCTGGCATCTGTGCGATGTGAATGACCTTGTGATGGAGGGAAGGTCATTTGAAGCAGCTGAAGATAGTTGGGCTTAGGACACTACCTTGAGGAACTCCTGCAGAAATATCCTGAAGCTGAGATGACTGGCTCCAACAAACATGACCATCTTCCTACGTGCCAGGTATGACTCCAACCAGCAAGGAGTTTGCTCCCGATTCCCATTAATTCGAGTTTTGCTGGCCTCCTTGATACCACAATGCAGCCTTGATGTCAAGGGCTGTCGTTGTCACCTCACCTCTGGAATTCAGCTGTTTTGTCCATGTTTGTACCAAGGATATAATGAAATCAGGAGCTGAGTCACCCTGGCTTACCCAAACTAGACATCAGTCATCAGGCTATAGCTGAGTATGTACTGCTTGATAGCATTGTTGATGACACCTTCCATCATTTTACTGATGATGGAGAGTAGACGGATGGGGTGGTAATTGGTTTGGTTGGATTTGTCTTGCTTTTTGTGTACAATATGTGCCTGAACAATTTTTCACATTGGCATCGACTTGACTGTGTTGTAACTGCATCCATGATAATGATCAAGATCTTCCAGGAATATTGTTTTAAAAACTCATCTGGTTCAGTAACATCCTTAAGAGAAGGAATTCTGCTATCTGCCATCCTTACCTGATCTGTCCTATGCGTTACTCAAGACTTACAATAATGTTGTTGACTGCTGTCTGAAATGGCCTAGCAAGCCATTTAGTTGCTAAGATCACCTGCTCAGGGAGAGGGGGTGTTAATTGCTGGTGCTGCCAGCAATGTCTACATCTTGTGAAGAGATTCAGCATTACCTCAAATATGCTAACGCAGCCAAAGGGTGTTCGAGGACAGCAACATCGGATTTGACACCAAGCTCATGGTGCACAGAGCTGTGGTGGTTCCTGCTCTCCTATTGTGGCTCTGAGACATGGATTGTCTACAATGGACTCCTCAAGGTGCTGGAGCAGTACCACCAATGCTGCCTGTGCAAGATCTTGCAAATCCACTGGGAAGACAGACGCATCAACACCAGCATCCTTGACCAGACCAACATCAGTTTGTAGGGTGTCGGCAACACTGAAGGATGGTGTCTGGTGTCAGGTGTCAATGACTGGGAAAACGTAGTCATTGTGCTAAGTTTTGAAAATGCGCAGGCTGATTGGAAATGACTTTATCTTCCTCCTTTAACTTATAAAGCACCTCTTTCTGATTTGGATAGCTTAGATTTTTGTTTTTTGGAGCATCAATACTAAAAGGACTGCTGGAATTCAATGATGAAAAGCTGCCTTCTTCAGAACAAGAAGGGTCTATGCCCGAAACGTCAGCCTTCCTGCTCCTCTGATGCTGCTTGGCCTGCTGTGTTCATCCAGCTCTACACCTTGTTATCTCAGATTCTCCAGCATCTGCAGTTCCTACTATCTCTGGCATTTAGTGTGGTTGTCTTGCCCACACCCTGAGAATTGAAACAACAAAATAAGGTGGCATCTAGCTCACGCAATGTGGCTACAAATGAGTGCATCCAGCATTGCCATTAGTTCTGGTATGCAGTTTTGACACAGGTTAAAATTTAAGAAGTAGAATATCCAGGTTCGATAACCTTGCCCTTGTTCATGACCAATTATAAGACAGACAAGCACTTGGTGTAAATCAGTGCTGACATACTGGCTCCTTTCATCACTTAAGTTGAAGTTTCAAATGTATTTTATTTAACAGAAAATGGCTGCCTTTATATAGTCATGGATTACTGTGAAGGTGGTGATCTTTTCAAACGGATTAACGCACAGAAAGGAGTTTTATTCCCCGAGGATCAGGTAACAACCGTTTTTGTTTTTCAAATAATATTTATTTCTGCTCCTGTGGCCGTTATGCAATGTTTTATCATCCAACTGCTCTGTTGGAGAATCTGTCCTGGTGTGATCTTTCCATCTGTTCGTCACTGCTCTATCATGGCTCTTTCTTTTAGCCTATTTACCAATGTATCATAAGTATATAGTCAATCTTATTTTTTTGAAACAACTAAACCAAACATTCTGGTCATCTTGTTAGATTTGCCTAATGCTACCCACTTCCAGTGACAAATGTCAAGCCGAACCTATTGTTTTGCATTCAAGATCTTGTCTGTAGACTTGCTCCACACGTGGCAGGAGAAAATGTAATGCTATGATTCTTACAGTTGAGTGAAGATAATGTGAAAGTTCCACATTGCACATTGTTATACTGTGTTGAATTTCTAGTGATAATACTCTGATATCATCAGTGATTTGTTACACTAAGTCCAGTTGTAACACAGCTTCATACCTCCCTCCTCCTCATTTTTATACAATTTAAATCATAAAGAAGCTGAATTTACTGTGGTTGTGCATAGCTAACTTTTCTCCTTGAACCATTATCATTCATTTCTTTACCTTCAAATGTGACAAGATCGAATCTGGATTTGAAATTACTCAAATACGTGTCCTTCACCTGACGAAGGAGCAGCTCTCTGAAAGCTTGTGATTTCAAATAAACCTGTTGGACTACAACCCGGTGTCGTGTGACTTCTGACTTTGTTGTCCCCAGTCCAAGACCAGTACCTTCACATCAAACCAAAGGTGTTAGAACAGATGGGACTGTAAACGAAAATGTGCAGCAAACAGGGAATGATAAATTGATAATAGACTATAAGATTTTTCAAAAAAAAAAATGAAAGAACTGCATATCCTTGAAATCAGAAAACAAAGACAGAAATTCCTGGAAAACTCAGCAGGTCCAGCAGCATCTTTGGAGAGAAAGCAGAGTCAATGTTTCGGGTCCAGTGACCCTTCTTCAGAACCTATTCTGAACCCTGTTCTGAAGAGTTGTCACCGGATCCAAAGTGTTAACTCTATTTTCTTTCCACGCGTGCTTCCTGCAACACTAATTGTACCTGCATCCACCACTTCCTCTGGCAGTTTATTCCACACGTCAACTATTCTCTGCTTTCTTAAAAAAAAACCCTCAAGTTGTTTTTAAATCTTTCTCCTCTCGCCTTAAAAATATGCTTCCTACTTTTGAACTCCCCCTCCCTATGCACCTTATCTATGCCCCTCATGATTTTATAAAACCTCTATAAGTTCATTCCTCAACCTCCTGTGCTGTAGTAAAAAAATGCCCCAGCCCCTCTCCTTGTAGCTCAAACCCTCCATTTTCGACAACATCCTGGTAAATCTCTTCTGAGCCCTCTCTAATTCAATAGTATCCTTCCTATAACAGGCCAGTCTGAACTGCACACCATGCTCCAAAAGTGGCCTCACCTGTACAACCTCAATATGACGTTCCAACTCCTATACTCAGTGGCTGGAGTCATGAAGTCAGGCGTGCTAAATACCTTCTTAACTACCCTGTCCATTTGAGACACAAATTGCAAAGAATTATGTACCTGAACCCTTAGTGTTCTCTGTTCTACAGCACTACCTAGGGCCCTACCAATTAAGAGTTATGAGTTCAGTATTACTTCTTCAGAAGTGAAGTTCATTGTATTATCCATTATACATGTTTATAACATTTTGCAATAGCTGTGACTCTCCATACTTTTCGTATCTCCACAATTTGTAACCTTTCACCACTTATGTCCAAATTGAATGACTTTTCATTTACTTGCATTTATTCATTCATTTAATGTATCATTAACTGTGTCGTGTATGCCATATTCCAATATGGTGATCACTGGGCTGTGACAATTTAATAGCGTTTTGGAAAGGATGTGAGTAAAATTCTCAAGAACCAGTCAAACAGTGCTCTGATCAGGTTTAAACGTGTCTCTTTTAATGGTGGACCCTAGTGAATTTTACGTTGTCACTGCACTTGTGCTTAAAACAAATTAAGAGGATATCTCTGCTGTTTGTGTAAGATTTTATGAAACTATTTGAAGGAGTAATTCATACTGTAACAATGTATGAATAAACAATATGCTGCTTATTGTTGTAATCTTTGAGGCCTTGATGTTGTCTGGCAGTTTTTACTTGTAGCAATATTGCTTTTTAATCCTTTTATGTTAACAGATCCTGGATTGGTTTGTGCAAATTTGCTTAGCTCTGAAGCATGTTCATGATCGAAAGATTCTTCACAGGGACATAAAGTCACAGGTAAGCTTATGTATCCATTGAGTTAAGGAACTATTTTCAGAATGTGACACATGACTTATAATAGCATAACTCTAAATAGCTTACGTATTTTTGTTACAATGTTAAGAGGGAGAAATTAAAGCTACAACTGCTGCTGCATTAACCTCACACTCTCAATAGCTTCGATCAGTTACATAAATCAATTGAATTTAATATATTTTAACCTGATTTGGGAGGGGGGAGAAAAAACCCTTTTGAAGCTGTGTGAATTTATATTTGTTCATTGTACTCATTCTCTGCCATTTCCATATCACTTCCATTAGTTATGCTTCCATTCAGACGAGGTGTGTGTGTTTAAATTGCTGGATTCTGCTCATCTCTTCATAAGAGTCAAAACAGACCCTTCAGTCCAACCAGTCCGTGCTGACCATAATCCCAAACTAAACTAGTCCCACCTACCTGCATTTGGCCTGTATACCTCCAAACGTTTCTGATTCATGTACTTACCAGTTCAGATCACTTCTGTATCTTGCCTTTTCAACTGGGATTTAATATTGTCTGTGCCGTACCGGGGTCAGAATATGGAGAGGAGCCTATCTGCTTCTGAAATTGGATGTTTGTGTCGTTTTGGCATCATCCACAGGATGGCCACTGTGTGGTGTATGAACGGTACCACATAGGCCAAATAACGTGACCCTGTCCAGGTTGGGGGTAGCCAGGCATAGACTCTGTGTCTGCACACAAAATAGGTACAGTTGTACAGGACGAATCAGGTAATAATCTGAAGGTACCAGCATTGTTGGAATGTTCTGTTACACGTGATGTTCCTGAAGTTCAGTAGGCTAGGGCTGCCGTGCATGAGGAGAGATGCGTTTAGGGACCCCGTGGTCAGGAAGAGTGCCCTGATGGGTACCGGGAGAGGATATGTGGAAGTGTTATTACTGTGGGTGCAGTTGCTACATCCCGTGGGTGTTCCTTTTCCTTGGTTTTCAATTCTCGTTAGGTAGATCAAGCCGTTAGGTCTTCCTATCCATAAGACATAGCAGAGATTAGGACATTCGACCCATCGAGTCTGCTCCGCTATTCAATCAAGGCTGATAAGTTTCTCAACCATTTCTGCTACAAGACCATAAGACACAGGAGCAGAGATGGGTTGGTCAATGTGATGAAGGTGGGTGGTCGTGAGGTCGTGTATTTGGGTTGGTACCGTCCTGTAAAGCTGTTCCGGTTATTCCTCGCTGATTTCCATTGTGTCCTATCTCGGTCAATATTTACGAAGTACATTCCACTATTGGTAGGATGCCCGTCTCTCTCTCCCTGTTTTGAGCTATTTTGTCTTAATACCCATTTGGCTAATTCTGAAGTATTATAGGGGATGGGTCGCATTGGTATCCCTCCCTTAGACTACATGGGGAGTTGGATGCAGACCCAGCAATTGGACGCATTATGCTCTCCAGCATACACATGATAAACAAAATAAAACGTACACTAGCGGTGGAGGGGGAGGAATGAGGCCCCCTTGTTTGGTTTTATTTTTATCAGGACCTTTTGATCTTGGGGCTGGCATCTCTGTTTGTCCTGGGTGTCTCTCGGACTGCCAGTCCTTGACAAGCTGCTGGTCTCTGGCCTGACCGTGAAGTATGTGTAGATGCTTACAGAGGGATTTCATGTAATCCTAGACTTGTCCTTTGCTGTTAGTCAGCTCTGCTCCTCACTGTGATTAGGTCCTAAGGAGTGTCATTGCTCGTCCTGTCATGAGTTCAAATAGTGTTAGTCCAGTGGTCCGACTGGGCCGTTAGAATGGCTGGTAGGGAAACGGCCCATTTAACCCATTCTCCTATCATTGCCTTGGTCAGAGCATTTTTCAGTGTCCTATTCATGCTGTCTACTATCCCCGAGCTCTGTGGATGGTAGGGGATATGATACCTTTGTCTTATTCCCAGTAGTTGACATGCTTCCTTCAGGCACTCGACAGTGAAGTGGGTCTCTTTGGCCTGAATTTATTTGTAGGGGTACCCCTACCTAGGTATTGTTTTCTGCTGCCAGTATTTTGTTGCTGAAGTTACATTACAGTCTTTTGTGGGGAAAGCTTGTAGTCATCTGGTAAACTGGTCGATCGTGACCAGACAGAATTTCTTATTCTGACTTTCTGGGAGTGATCCTATGAAATCCATTTGAATGTGGTCCCATGGCCCCCTTGGACGGGGCTGATGGCTGGTTTTTAGTTTTATTTCCCTGCCCTGGTTCTGTCTGTGCACATGCAGTGCATCTTCAACAAAACTTGGCTATTCCCCTTCCTCTCCACCAGCAGCAGTTAGATATCAGCTGTATCATTTTATTTCTCCCTATGTGTGTTAATCCATGGTAAACATTGCATAATGTCTGCTGGCAGAAAGTGGTGGCTACCACTTTGCCTTCTTTTCTCCAAATATCATCTGCTCCTGACGCCGTCCCGTCTTTAATCTATTCTGCTTTCTCTTCTGAACTGGCTGCTGCTGTAAATTTGAAATGCTCCATTCGTCACCTTCGGCTTTGTGCTGTCTTGCAGCTGCTATCATTATCACTTCCTGTTCTAACATTGCTTTTGCTGCTCTATTTGCATAACTATTCCCTCTCTGCTTGGTGTTTGAATTTTCCTGTGTCCTTTTACTTTAATTGCTCCTGCTTCTTTTAGTTCAGTGGCTCCAGCCACTAGGTCCATGACTAGATTCTCATGCTGGATTTCACTACCATTCGAACTAACATAACCTCAGCTTGCCCATGCCATCATGTAGTCATGGACTACACCAAAGACATACCTACTGTCTGTGTGGATGTTAACCACTTGTCCTCTCCCTAACTTCAGGGCTGCAGTAAGTGCTTTTAGTTCAGCTTCCTGGGTGGAGTGACATCCTTCTATTCTTTCTCCTGCTAAAATCTCCCCTTTCAAATTAACCACGGCCACCCTCTCTGGGCCTCACCATGGTAACTTCCGCGCCCCGTCTATTAACATGCATTTCACATCTGGCCCCTCTAATGGCTCTTCCTTAACTTGACCCTGTCTTTCTTCTCCCTGCTCCAAAGAGGGGTATACAATCATATCTCTCTCTTGTTTCTCCAAATCTTTCATAATTTCTTTAACTGCCTGAACAGCTTCAGGTCTGATGGGGTACTGCCTTTTAAATGGGTGTACATTTCCAGGTGTTTCAATCGGTTTTATATCTCATCTCCTGAACTCGGTTTTGTTAGTTGCCCATAATTTGGGGCACATCATTGCTAATTTATGGTAGGGATTCCCAGGGTCCCATTCCCTCCCAACTGTGGCAGCAAAGATGCTCTTAAGGAAGAATGCAATCCTTGGCCATCCCAATCAATTTTCGCTTCTTGTATGTTCATTACCACTCCAAATTGTTCCAGCAAATCCATTCCTAATACACTACCTTCATATATATACAAGCATTGATCACACTATCTGCAATTTTTATTTCAATCCGTTGGCTGAGGGTGGCTGGTTGAGTCCTGCCACCCACACCCTGTAACAACTGCTACTAGTTTCTTCCCTTTAGTTATTTTCTCCTTTCATAGCCCAATTGATACTTTTATTAATTTGTGTTTTGTTTTTTATTCCCCAGTTCTTTATCCACAGATTACTTCACCCACTAGCAGTAAAATATCATCATACATATACTTAAAATTTCTAAGAAAGTATCAATCTATCTCATGTCAAACAGAATAGGTTAATTAGTATTGAACCATCTTCTCTGTTAAGTTGCCCCTTTCTAATTCATCTATCAGCTTTTTTCAGATTTTAGAACATATCAGAATTTTGTACGAAGAGATTTTTATTCCCAAGGTTCCAAATTTCCTATCATTTGCATACTTGCACGTCACGGTATCTTCACAATGAGCAAATCTTATCATCCGGGGTTAGAGATTCACTCGTGTTTAAACAGTTTTTGGAAGTTCATTTTTGGCCAGTAAATGAAATTCCAAACATGGTAATTTCTGAAATTTACCCCAAGTCCAAACACAATACAGAGCCAATTCAAAAAGATAAATTTTTACTGAGCTTTACAAACTAACCTTTTAAATCAACTTTTTGCTATTGACTTCTACTTCACACAACCCCACTTACACAAGCACACCACACATTTAAATCACTACACGTTCCCAAAATACAGACTAACTTCAACACATCCCCAGATCTCGAGCTCTAGGGAACAAAAACACACAAATTGCACATGACAGCAAACAAAGGTGCATTCAAACCAGACCACAGAGAGTTAACACCTCTGCAAGATTCAGTGAACTAGCACAGAGAGCCATCTCACTTTATCTGTTGCTTATGAACACTGTAGCTATTTTGGCATGTTTCTGTGCTTTTTTTTTTAAACACAGTCTGCGGTCTGGACCCCAGCCCACTATTTTTTTCCACAGTCCTCCCCTGCCACTTTCCCAAACTTTCCCAACTGTGGCTGCTTCTATTTTACTATTTTATTATTTGCCAGACCTTGTTCTTTCCCTGCCTTGCACTGCTCTTGTGCCAGTGATTTCTATATTTTTGTGTTTTGATTTTATTCCCCTCTCTTATTTCAATTCTTTTTTTCTTTATTATTTTGCTTTTTGTTTCTCTCTTATTTTTGTGCGTGATAGCACTGGGACTCTCAGCTCCCTGTTTTCTCCTATTTTGTGCACCGGGAGTCGCAACACCCTCTTTCTTGCTTTGCGTTCTTGTGTTATTTTGCACATTCTTGTGTTATTTCATGCGCTCTCGTCCCGGGCACCCACTACCACTATACCTGATCATGCGTCTCGTATTCGCTCCAATCTAAAAGTTTGTTTTATGCCCTGGCTTACAGAAGCCTCCCACCGAGTACCAGGCTAGCTAGAAAGGGTGGTAAATAAACATACTAACCCAGACCGTGGCTCAAGGTGTGCCAGCTTCAGGCAGGGCACTCTGCTCACAGTGCCAATCTGTAGGAGTGTTTTTCCCGACCCAGGACGAAGACTCAGGAGGCAGGCAGGATTCAGGCAAGTGGAAGATGTTTATTCAAGCAGAAACCGGTTTATGCAGGGAGAGGCCCAAAGGATCTTCCCCAAATCTGGCTTCGGAAGATAGATCAATGGCACACCCTCTGCCTTCACAAAGAAATAGAGCACTTTTTATATATTTTGTGTTGCAGTAATCCACTACAATGTAGTCACTATCCTTCCCCTTAATTCAAACTCCCAATCCTGTCGGACATCTAATCAGTAATGGGCACATCCATGGACAATCCCAGGTTCCCATGATCTTATGGTATTAGCTAGACATTGTAATCTCTGGGCCTTGGGATCTTCCTATGCATCCTATTCATTCGCATTCCAAAAGTTTAATGGCTATACTCCTTCAGGTCTTTTTCAGGCTTGTTTATCTGTAAGGACAGCTCAAATTCTATTACCCATTGTATTTTGGTGCTGTCTTTTATCACATTCATTTATTCTTTTTATTTTCCCACTGTCCCAATTACATAATGTAAAAATAAAAAGTCAGTTAGTTTTAACTAATTGCTGTAAGGTTAACTTCTATTATAAAGTTAATTATAAGTGTAACGTTATCCAACTACTTCAATTGTCAGCTTTTTGTAATTTATGGTTTGTGATCAATCTATTTTGTTCAGGGTATAAGAGAAGGTGTCTTCCAAGGCTAGTTAATCTTTACATCTAAGCTTAAATTTTTTTTAATGCTTGTATTACATCCTGGTTATGAATTGAAAATCAACTTCTACGATTAGAGCATTTTTAGCTAGAAACTATTTAATATCACTGGTAGCTTCAAAGAGGCAACTATTTACTACAAAGTAACTTTAGCTGTTATCCTTGTAGCTGCTTGAGGACCTAACCTAGCACCTGACATTGTTCATTTACTGGGACAATCACCCTTTCTTTAATTAAGCTGGAATTGGTCATTTATCTGTCCTAAGGCATCCTTTTATCAGATCTGTCTCGGATGGGAACATAGAGCATTCTTTTACTGACCTTCTAGCAGTTCTGTTCAAAGGTACCATTGTATTTCACTGTGTGAACAGGCTGCTTAGTTTTGCTTAGCTTCTGTCTGCCATCTTGTAACTAGACATGGGCCGCTTAATGTGTTCAGGTACATAGCCAGGTAAGGTCACCCCTACACCCTCCAAACATTTCTGATCATGTACTTAATTCTGTATCTTGTCTTTTCAACTGGGACTTAATATTTCCAGTTCCTTCTTAGTTTTTAAATGTGTGCCTCCTTGCTAATTTCTCTTTCGACACCAAGGTTTGTGCAGAATTATACAAGATGATGCATGGCAAAGGGCAAGAGGAGTAGAGGAAATAAATATAATAACTGTCACTCAAAAAAGTACTAAGGAAACTAATGAGGCTAAGGACCAATAAGATCCCTGGTCTTGATGGGGTGCATAACTAGTATATTAAAGGAAGTAATTACAGACATAGTGGATTACATATTCCAGAATCAAAGGATTTTTGGAACGTCCCAGAGTTTGAAAATCTGCCAAAGCAATACTTTTTATTTATAAAGGGAAGGAGACAAAAAAAAGGTCACTAGAGGCCTTTAGCTATAAACTATAGCTTAATATCTGTCATTGGGGAAATATTCTTGTCTATTATAAAGGCCGTAATAGCAGAGAATTTAGAAATATATAACATAATCAAGCAGAGACAGCATGGCTTTATTCAGGGGGAATCATTCGTGACAAATTTACTAGAATTTTTTCCAGGAGGCAAAATCAGGATAGATCAGGTAGGAACAGTGGATGTCCTATATTTGGATTTTCAGACTGTGTTTGATAAGGTGCCACACACCATTACAAAGCTCATGGATTGCAGGTAGTAAATCCACATAGACAGTGGATTGGCTAGCTACTGCAAGACAGATATGAGATAAGTGGGTCGGGGGGGAGGCAATTTCACTGTAATTAGTGATGTGAAACAGGTATCAGTACCAGGACCAGAATTATTTACAATATATATTCATTACTTGAATGAGAAAAGTGAATGTACAATAGCACGTTGCGAAGTTGGGTAGAGTAGTTGATGTTTGTAAAATGATTCGGCGGGGGAAGAGTTCGTGGTCCCTTTAAATGATTGTGTTTTTCTCGGCTTGGAGATTTTAAGAAAAAGTCTACAGGCATCAGCAGATGCACGGAATTCTTGAAATTGAAAGTTTGTATCAAAAGGCTGTACTGTTAACGGGCAAAGCAGCATTTTTACCAAGACAACAGGTTTTTAAATTTAGTCTATTTTAATTTAAACCAGGCCCTAAGCACCAAAATCCAATTAAGTTTAAATGTAATGGTTTTGACTACCTTGGACCAATACTATTATAAGAAATTGATAGGTCATCAAGTGTGTAAAAGAAGAGGCCATTTGAAAATCAGTGTGAATGTCAACTGTCATCTGCCAAAACAACAGCTCTCAACTATAAAAGAAAGAGTTACTGGCTCTCACAGAATTCTCTAAGCTCCTGGAAAGCCATCATCTCAACTGAAGGTACAGCGGCACTCTTAGCTAATGGGGTGGAATTCAAAGGAGGAAGGCGTTCCTGACTGGAGGATAGCGGAGAAGGAAAAGAACATTCTGGAAGACTTATCCTGACCTAATTACGAGATTGTGTTTTTCATTTATTTAACTGGGTTTATATAGGTGGGACTTGTATCTATTGGAACAGCATACCATTAGAATTTTGTTTTATTTGGAAATAGTTAGTAGTTTAGGAGGAATTGTTCTGTTAATTTGTTAACCGTTAAGAGTTAGATAAATTATTTGTTACTAGTTGCGCATATAGTGAGTATCAGGGCTTTCATTTCATTCGACCAAAAATATAAGGGAAGGCAAATGATTTATGGACTGTTATGCATTTTGTCAGGAATAAAAGAGCTGGTTATCACCTAAAAGGAGAAAGATTGCATAAAACTACTGAGCAGATGAATTTGGGACTCTCGGTGCATGAATCACAAAAGGCTAGCATCCAAGTTTAGTGGGTAATAGGGAAGGCAAATGGAATAATTAATGAAAGAAAGAAGTTGGATGCTGGAGCTCTGTAACCAAAACAGTAACTGATGGAGAAACTCAGCAGGTCTAGCAGCATCTGTGGGAAGAATGCAGATTTAACATTGTGTCTGCTGACTTTTCATCAGAACCAAAGGCAGATGGGATATTGGTCTTTATTTCAATGGAAATGAATTATAAAAGTAGGGAAGTTTTATTAAAACCACATCAGGCAGGACGGGAATATTGTGAACAGTTTTAGGCCCCTTGTCAGAGGAAAGATATATTGCATTGGAGGTAGCCAAGATAAGGTTCACTGGGCTAATACAGAGTATGGAGGGACTATCTTCTGAGGAGAGGCTGAGTAGATTGGGCCAGCACTCATTGGAGTTTAGAAGAATAAAAGGCGTGTCTTTATTGAATCTATTAAATATTAAATCTATTTTTAGGAGACTTGCCAAGGTTGATGGAGAAAGGTTGTTTCTCCTCGTAGGAGTGTGGGGCCAGAGGGCATCATGTCCCTATACAAATGTACAGGAACAAGGAGGAATCGCTTCTGCGGGCAGTGAACCTGCGGAATTTCTTACCACAGACAGCTGTCAAAACTGGGTCATTAAGTATGTTTGAGACTGAGACAGATTTTTAACTAGTCAGGAAAATGAAGTTGAGGTTTACCAGATCAGCTATGAACTCATTGAATGGTGACTTGATGGACTGATTATGGCCACAGGAGCAGAAGTAAATCATAATTAAGGTTTATTTAACACAATCGGAATATGTGACTTTTTTTAACTTTATTTGTCATGTGTCTAAAATTTATAGACAAATTTCCTTGTCCTAGCTATTGAGCTCCTGAAACAATGGAGGTAATACCTTTAACTTTTGCTACGTGTATAGTGATACAGTTCTAATTTTGTGCATGTTTTTCTATCCCTAAATATTAACACATGCGTGTTTTGAGTAATCATTGCACCCATGATTTTTTTTTCCCTTTTTTCTAAACCCAGAATATCTTTCTCACCAAAGATGGAACAGTTCAGTTGGGAGATTTTGGAATAGCTAGAGTGCTTAACAGGTAGGGTTCAAACTGCTTGAACTGAAATTTAGTTGATAAGCTTTATTCCTTTTGATCTTCTCAGTTTTTGTTTGATTGTCCAAAATCATCATTTTCTACATCCAAGAAATGCTGCAAAAGTAATTTTCTGTTTATATTTCATAATCTCCTTTTTTTTTTTGAAATCTGCTGACACTTGTAAATCATCACAGATTTAAAAATGTACTTTCACTAAGTGCCTTATTGCATGTTTCAGAAACATTTCAAAATTGTTTTACTTAATGAACTAACGATTGAAGTATAGCGACTGTTGCCATACAGAATGAAATGGTACCCATTTATTAGGTAGGCAAATGTGCATAATTTTGTGCTTGATAAGATCTGATGAAATGGCCTCTTCCAGATAATGTCATTATTGGTCAAAGAAGGAATGAAGTAGGGTAATAAAGAGAGTTCCTTTTTCACCTGCAATAGTCTCAAGTCTGAATGAACCTTTAGACAGAAAACAAGTCTAAACATCTGTATTCAAATGATAGATTGCTCAATGATAGTATTGCAGAGTTGTCATGTGGATTGTGCTATAGTGAATTGAATGCCAAGTTGAAAGAAGCTCTTTGTCAAAGTGTTTTATATTAGATCTTCAAATATAAGCAACTTTAAAAACACAAGCTCAGGATGATGATAGGTCTTTAGTCCATTCAATCTTTCTAACTTAACATTCTTGACTGAGTCTTAAATGCTCCTATTGTCCTTGACTCGATCTGGTATATATTCTGAAAGTTTACCTACCTTCCAGGGAAGGAATCTGTTCAAAATAGATTTCTCACAGGCTATATTTGATTAAATATCTTATTGTCCTTTCTATATAAGATGATGCAACGGTGGTGATGTTGCTGAACTTGTAGACCAGAGATGAATTTAGTTATCTAGGGATCATATTGAATTCCACTGTGGCCGATGGTGGAATTTGAATTTAATTTAGAAAGATCTGGAATTATAAGTCTAATAATGACCCTGAAGTGATTGCTGATTGTCATAGAATCCCATCTTGTTCACTGATGTCTGTTTTAGGGAAGGAAGATTGCTGTGCGTACCTGGTCTGGCCTACAAGTAACGACAGACCCACAGCAATGTGGATGACTCTTAACTGCTGTCTGACCTGGCCAAGCAAACCACTCAGTTGTATCAACTATCAGAATGTCGCAAAACGAATGAAATGAGTTAAACCACAAAGCATCAACTGAGGTACCAGAAATGATAACAGTAAACACAGTCATGTCGACCCTACATAATCCTCCTTGCCAACATCTGAGGCCTGTGCTGAATTTGGGAGAGCTGTCTCTCGGACTCATCAAGCTACACCTGATGACATTGTGTACAAGTTTTGATTCTGAGTGTGCAACATGTCCTAGGTAACCACCATCCCTGGCTATGTCCTGTCCAAGCAGTCGTAGCTGCTAATGAAAATGTGCAGGAGGACCTGTCAGGAGCAGCATCAAGGATACCCTAAAAATGAGGTACCAACCTGGTGAAACTGCAAAACAGGACTACCTACGTACCAAACGGTACAAGTAGCAAGTCATAGACAGAGCTAGGAGATTCAACAATCAATGGATCAGCTCTAAGTACTGCAGTCCTGCAACATTCCATTGTGAATGATGTGGAAAATTAAAACAGTTCACTGAAAGGGAGGCTCCACAAATATGCCCATCCCCCATGATGGGGAGCCTTACACATCAGGTGCAAAGGATGAGCTTGAAGTATTTGCAAAAGTCCACGGCAGAAGTACTGAGTGGGTGGTCCATTTTGGCCTCATCCAGAGAACCCAAACATCAGAGATGCCATTCTTCAACCAATACAGTTCACTCCAATGATGTGAAGAAATGGCTGGAAACAATAGTACCTGCAAATGCTATGAGCCCTGAAGACAATTCAGCAATAGACTTGTGTTCAAGAACCTTCCAGGCCCTGGGCCAAGATGTCTGGAAGAGCGACAACACCTGGCATCTATCTGCCGTATGGAAAATTGCTCTGTTGTCATGTGTGCATACACAATACGGACAAATCCGTGCATTGGTGGTGGAAGAGATGATGTATCCATCCAGACAGCTGGGGAGTATTCATCACATTCCTGACTTGTGCCCATTTTTAAAACTTAATTCGTGGGATGGGGACATTACTGGCTGGACCAACGTTTATTGCCCATCTCTAATTGCCCAGAGGGCAGTTAAGAGTCAAACACATTGCTGTGGGTCTGGAGTGACATGTGGCCAGACCAGGTAAGGATGGCAGTTTCCTTCCCTAAAGGACATTAGTGAACTAGGTGGATTTTTCCAGCAATTGACGATGGATTTATGATCATCATTAGACTCTTAATTCCAGATGTTTATTGAATTCCAGCATGTGCCAAAGTGGGATTCGAACCCGGGTACCCAGAACATTTCCTGGGTCTCTGGATTAATAGTCCTGCGATAAAACCATGAGGCCATTGACTCCTCTGAGATGGTGTATAGGTAGATGGTGAACAGGCTTTGGGGAATCAGGAGGTGAGTTACTTGCCACAGTATTCCTAGCCTCTGTCCTGCTGTTGTAGCCACTGTATGTATTTATATGCTAGTTCAGTTCAGTGTCTGGTCAATAGTGACCTCAGGATGTTGCTGATAGGGATTTCAATGATGGTAGTTCCATTGCTTGTCAAGGGAATAGGGTTGTATTCTTCTTGATGGAGTACTTGTTTAACATAAATGCCACTTATCAATCTAAGCTGGAATGTTGTGCTGGTTTTGCTGCCTATCGACTGCTTACAGTATCTTAGGAATCATGAGTAGTGGCATGTGTATCATTAGCAAACATTCCCATTTTATTTTTTCTGTCCAGACATGCTCTTACACACAATTGAATTGTATTTACTTTTTAACCATTTGTGAGACAGCATTCGAAGCACCCCTGCCCCCCCATATGTACAAGTGACAGATTTTGTAAGGAGGTCTTCCATTCGCAGGCAGCTTCTCTCTATTTGCTGCTGACAGACGCACTCAAGCAATCACAATCTGTACCCTCATGGCCTTGCAAAGAAATGGTAGGTTTTTAAAATAGCATATATACGAATGAAATAAATGACGGTGTTAATTTCTTTTATTAGTACTGTAGAGCTGGCCCGGACTTGCATTGGCACACCATACTACCTGTCCCCAGAAATATGCGAAAATAAGCCATACAACAACAAAAGGTACCTATGTTTTATTCACTAACAAATCAGATAATGTAATAATAATCTGTTCATTTCACTGGAGAGGAAGTGTTACTGACTGCTTTGTAATTCATTTGTTTAGTGATATTTGGGCTTTGGGCTGTGTCTTGTATGAGATGTGCACCCTGAAACATGCAGTAAGTAATTTCCTTTTTTAAAATTTTAGTCGATGTTCTGTGGGGGGGAAAAACGTGCTGTCTGTATTGTTTATTGTAATATTTCACAACAGCATTTAATTCTGAAGTAGTACTTCCTTTTATTGACATGATTCAAATATCTAATTTTCTGAAGATGTTGTGTCTAATGATTGGATGTCACAATATCTGAGCTCTGAGATTTTAATCCATCTCACAGGCTGAAGGATGAAATTCTGTTACCATTCTCTGAATTTTTTAGGTCTTGCAATGAATTTGTTTTTGCAGTCAGAACAAAATTTTCAGCTTTTGATTGATTTCATGTGAGTTGTGGTCAAGTTGAAAAAAACTGACCCCCGAATGCTTCAGAGCTGATATGTGTTTATGTAAGAAGAAAGTCAATACCTTAGGCTGCTTGCAGTTGATACTTTTCAAAAATGAGAATTGTTCCTCAGTTCCACCCATAAGGAACAGTAAAACTGTGATAAGTATTGTGTATAGACACCCTGGCAGCAACTTTGAAGTGCTAGATTGTACAAATGAGGAAATTAGGCAAGTGTGCAGCAAAGACAGTAGTATTAATGGGAAATTAAAATAACACCATCTCCACAGAGAACATGCTGAAATTACTGGACCTGTGCTTCACGACCCACTTTACGTTTTAATGGCCAGATCTATGAGCAAATCAAAGGGACAGCTATGGGGTCACCAATCTCCTGGACTATTAGTAGACATAGTGATGCAGAGACTTGAAAGCATGGCCCTTCCACAGATCCAACCCAAACTATGGATTTGATATGTGGACGACACTTTCGTCATCATCAAACAAACTAAACTAGAAGAAACACACCAACTTATAAATAACATTTTCACCGGCATCAAATTCACCAGAGAAGAAGAAAAGAACAAACGGCTCCCATTACTGGACGTAATGGTAGGGCCAACGGGGAATTTCTGACCGTAATTCACAGAAAGGCCACACACACGGATCAAGCCCTAAATTTCAACAGTAATCACCCCAACACCCACAAATGGAGTTGCTTGAAGACACTATTCAAACGAGCCACAACACAGTGCAACAACCCAGAACTACGCCAAAATGTACAAGGATACCTCCACCAAGTATTTATAGACAATGGATACCTGAACAGCTGGGTCGGACGATGCCTGTCACACAAACAACAGGAAGATACAGTACGGCCGGACACACTTGTCATGTCTACATACATCAAGAGCGTATCTGAACTGACCACAAGACTCCTATGGCCACTGGGCATCAGAGTGGCACACAAACGTACATCAACCCCACGCCAACTGCTAACAAGAACCAAAGACCCCTTACCCACTATGGACAGAACTAACATAATATGATATTCCATGCAAGGACTGCAACAAACATTACATCGGACAGACAGGAAGAAAACTGGCTATGAGAATACATGAACACCAAATAGTAATAAAAAAACATGACCAATACTCACTTGTCTGTATGTATAGAGACAAGGAGTACCACCAGTTCGATTGGGACAATGTCAGGATCCTATGACAAGCCAAACAGAGAGCAGCATGGGAATTCCTAGAGGCCTAGTTCTCCACCAAGAAGGCCATCAATAAACACGTAGAATTAGACCCTATACACACCACTGCAAAGAAAAACTGGAAATGAGGTAATCGACTCCAATGGACCCCAGAATTTAAATACCAGGCAGGAAAACATAACGCTTCATTGGAAGCTGTACTGATGTTACCCAGCAGGGTAATGAAACGTCTGCAAACTAATGAACCAGCTCGGCAAGTGAACCAACCACAGCAATTAAAATTTTTAACATAGATTCAGAGAGGCAGACAGTATCTGTTAGAAGGTTGTGAATTTCCAAAGACTGTCTGGGATACTTCCTTCAGAAGCATGTCCTGGATGCAACAAGGGTGCAAGCAATATTGGATTTAGTAATGAGCCAAATTTAATTAAAAACCTAATTGTTCATGAACATTTGGCAAATAGTGATCGTAACATGATTGAATTCAATGTAGTGTTTGAAAGTGAAAAGCATGGATTGAAAACTGGAATTTTAGGTTTCGGCAAGGCCAACTTTAATGACCTAAAATAGAGACTGTCTGTCTGTGGTAAAATGGGAAAATCTGCTAATGAAAATGTTTGGAGTCTATAATCAAACTACAAAGAGATATAATAGACTAGTTGAATAGGCAAAAACTGTTAACAGATGGAGTTGAATGTAGACATTTGTGAAGTTATCCATTCTGGTACCTTCTAGATGATATGAAGTTTAAATACAGTGGGTGCAGACAATAATGAAGGCTAATGGAATACTGACCTTTATATCTAGAGATCTGGAATATAAGGATGCATTAGTTATGCTGCATTTATACAAAATTCCGGTTAGACCCCACTTGGAGTGCTGTGAGCAGATCTGAGCACCACACCTTAGGAAGTATATACTGGCCTTTGCGGGAGTACAACAATAGTCTATAAGAATGATACCTGGACTTCAGGGGTTAAGTTGTGAGGAGAGATTATACAAATTTGGCCTGCTTCTCTAGAATGTTGAAGGTTAAGGGGTGATGTTATCGAAGTTTTGAAGATATTAATAGGAAAAAACACTGCGTAGATAAAGGTGAACTATTTACTCTGGTTGGGGATTCTACAACCAGGGGGCATAGTCTGAGAATTAGGGCCAGATCATTCAGGAGAGATGTTAGGAAGCACTTGTACATACATAGGCTGATAGATGTGTAGAACTCTCTTCCACAAATAGCACTTGATGCGCGAGCAGTTGTTAATTTTAAATCTGAGATGAAGTTTTGTTAAGCAGGGTTATTCATGAGTATGGGCCAAAGACAGGTATGTGGAGTTAGGCCACAGATCAGCCATGATCTCATTGAATGTTGGAAGATGCTTGAGGGGCTGGATGGCCTACTCCAATTCCTATGTACTCTTCCCAGCAACACCTGACTTTCCCAACCTTAATGAGACAATTTTATCAAAATAAGGCTTGCGTGACCGTATTTATTGCTTTAATATCTGAACTTTTTTTAAAAAAAAAGCTACCAGTCAAAGATAAAAATGACTTGATTGGAAAATAGCAAAGAGATAACAAGAGTACTGACGTAGAAATTTGTTAGAAAAATCAGCAGACAAGGCAGTAAACAATGCGCAACTTTCAAATGAGATCATAGGGACACGAAGTACTCCTGTATTTTGAGAAATGAATGTGATTGGATGGAAGCTGGAATTTCTTGGATGAATTGAGTAATTAAAACTTAAAATGAAACTTCAAAAAAATGCAACAGAAATGGAATGAGTATTAAACACATGAGGAAACAAAGGAAAAGGATGAGACAACTTGCAGAAAGAGGGAATTATTTTTTTTCATGTATTCATATGTTGAAAAATATATCATTAATACTTGGAGAAGATGGAGTGATCAGAGATTGAAAAATATGATTTTAATTTTTGACTAATGGTTTGTAGAGCTCCAAAATGAGCACTGTTCTATGGATTTTACGGGAGTAATGATGGTGGGACAAAAAGCATTGGAGAAAATCAAGCGGAACAGTGGGATGGGAAATTCCAGAAAAAGACAGAAGGGTGAAAAATATCCTAGACCCCCAATGGCATCGTGGAATGCTGAAGGATGTTACAATGAGAAATGGCAGAGACTCTGACCTTGATCTTCCTACTAGCCTTGCCCGACTCTGGAGAGTTTCCTTCACAACACTTCTTGTTCAAGAAGTGGGAAAGGGATATGGCAGATACATATAGTATTGAGCAATAAATCTAATATTTCAAAAAGTTAGGAGCCATCGTTCGGGATAATACATCAAACATCTAGATCTTAGATTCTCCAGCATCTGCAGTTCCTGCTATCTTTGAGTGATATGAGTATTTGTTCCCAGTGACTGGCAGCCTGTATCAAACAGCACATCCTTTTGACCAATAGCAACTGGCAAAATGCCAATCCAGCTCAACCAGTTTGTGTTTGCAGATCTCAGAACGCCATATCCAACAGTGATTCTGTTATTCTTGACTCTGCTAAGAATTAGCCCAAAGCCCAATTTAAGATGATCATTTGGCATCATAGTATGATGCATTTGCGTGTGCTAGAAGCAAATAACCAGACAGAACCCCGTTCTAAAGGAATTTATCCATACTTTGTGCATTTTTCATTGTGAAACTAGTTAGAGACTGCTAATTTCTGCTGTGTTCCCCATGGCTACACCTAACTGATCAGATTCTACCTACCTAGTCTGGGTTTTATTTCTTAGCTAGCTAAGATTAGTTAACAGTTCCTGCTGCGTTTTCAAGCCAGTCAGTTCCTATTTTGTCATGAAGGTCTTCTTTCATGACAGTCCTGATCATGGAAAGATGAAAATCTTTGACTTTTTGCTTTTTTGTAGCAATATTTTAAGTATTGTCCTACCAAAATTCTAAACAATGGATTTAGGAAATTCCGTGAATGTTGTGCATTGGATTTTCCAAGGTTGTTTAACCAGTTCTGCATTTTCTTTTTGCTCATTCATCGGATGTGGGCCTTGCTGGCTTGGCCCTTATTTATTTCCTAACCATTATTGCCTGGAGAGGAGCTAAGAGGTAGCCACGTTTGTGGGTCTGGTGTCACATGTAGGCCAAACCAGTTAAGGACCGCATATTTCTTTCCCTAAAGAACGTTAGTGAACCAGATGGAGTTTTTCTTATATTCGACATGGTCACTATTACAAAAGCTTTTTAATTATTTATTTTTAATTTTAATTCACTTTTCAGCATCTGAAAGTGTTGTATTTGAACCCATGACCCCAGAACATTAGCCTGACGCTCTGGATTACTTGTCTAGTGCATTACCATTAAACTACTGCCTCCTCCTAAATTGAAGGCTTAGACTATTTTTAAAAAATTAACATGGGTTATAGATTATAGATAGAAATTTGTTAAATATCAAGAAACAGTATCAGTTAAAGGAATTTTTTTGACTTGAGAAAAATAAGCAACATTGCCTTCCATGTTCTTTACTCAAATTACAAGAAGGTTTCTGCAGTTCAATCCACAGAAAAACAGATGGTGTGGGCAACTGAAGAGAAAGTGAAGTGCCAAAGGCAATGACAGATGGATTGGTTGAGTTGGCAGATGAAATTGTATATTTTTGGAAGTTGAGTTGGAAAAAAATGTACTAAAATGACATCAGGAAAGAGAAGAAATGCAAGCAACTAGGACTCTTTTTGTTTAAATGAGAAGAGAGATAAGGTTATAAATAGGATGAATAATTACTGTCATCGGTTACCTCATTATCAATTGGAAGGTCTCAACTTAACACTATTTAAACTTAAAAGCAAAAGGACAGATTAGGATTTTATCTGTGTGTAATAGTTGTTAGGCCATACTACTGGAAAGAATGGATTACAGTTCACCATTCGTTCATAATTAATTTCCCATTCTGCTTCAGCTTTAGAACTCAATATTAGATATTTTAGCCATGGGTCCGCTTGAGCAGAATGTCTCTAAGGTCCCAGAATAGATAAGCTAAAGTATGTCATTGACCATGCCTTCCAAGTATTTCCACTTTGCCATTGTCGTTTTAATTGTTTAGTTCATGTATTGGACTTATAGTAGCTTAATTGTTTATTTTTGTTTTTTTTTTAGTGAGCTTGATTTTAATCTTCTTTTGAAATTTAATAAGTACCTTCTTTGGAACTTATTTTTGGGGCAAAGAAAATGAAAATTTGTAGCATGCACAAACATTATGACAGTTCTTAGCGTGCAGAACTGGTAGGGGCTGGAAAACCAGCCACCCCTTTTTTTAACAGTAGTCAGCTGCTGTATTCTGAAATTTAAAGTTTCTGACAGCCACTTTCACAGCTGCTGTCAAATAATAAGTACCTAAAGTAAGTGTGATTCTTGGGATGCTGGGAGGGTGAAAGTTAAGGTAGGTAGGGTGACAAGTAGGGTGCCAGCTGGGGAGGGGTGGGCTCCAGAGTCGGATGCCAAATGTTTAGAGGGTAGGTAATAAGGTGGGAAGGATACCAGCTGGAGTGTCCAAGGTGCAATACCAGATGAGTAATGGGCATGGTGTCAGCTGGGAAGGGTGCCAGGATTCCAAACAAGTAGGGTGCCAGCTTGGAGAGGGGTAGGATACCAGATGAGTAAGAGGTAGGGTGCCACTAGTAGAATACCTGCACAGTAGGGTGCAAAATGGCAAGGTAATTGATGTGATGTTTAGGGGAGGTTAAGTGCATGTATGGTCTGCTGGTGGGGTTTGGAGGTGGGAGCATGGTGTAATTGTCGATTGTCAGTTGACCTTTTTCTTCCTTTGGTGATGTGTACATTTCTCTACTTCAAATATTGATTTCTTTTTTACCTTTAAAAGATACAATACTTCAGCTCCTGCTGTGGCTATATGTTTTGTGCTCTAACAATTCCCTAGTAAAGATTTTTTTAAAATTTGCTAATACCTTATTTGCATACTCTGCAATTAGAGGAAATAGAGTAAAGCTATCTACTGACTGTTATTAAAGACTTTCGACGTATTCCCTTCTCTTTTCTGCTCCAGTGGAAATAGTGCCACTCCCCAACCTCGAATGGTTCTCTGTCCTTGGCATCTTCCTGTTGAACCTACTTTTACACAGTGACAGGGCAGGGGTCGAGACTCCCTTTTTAAACTCACTCTCGGTTGGTTGAAATGACTTTATTAGCATGTAGCTATCACACTTCTTCATTAAAATTTAAGTTAACTGGATCGAAAATGGAGAACCAATTTGAAGGTTTTTGTCATCAAAAGAGAATGGAGTTTTATTACCTACTAACCTCCCTAATACAAGTAATGAGCTTACAAAATGTGCTTGTGGATGAAAGTGGGGTACCTCCTAGTGTAGACAGAATGATAAAGGCAGATGCAGTTACGGATCCATGACCTCCCTCTTGTTGCAAGGATGAGTGGCACCATTTGCTGATCTTGAGTCCTCCATAAGAAGTAGTTTTGCTTTTTTACCACTGGTATCTGCTATTGAAAGCATGAAGAGATTCCATTATCCCTACTGTTGTCAATCCATGTTTCGCTTTTTGCTTAAAGACTGCTGTTGTTATGCTGTTCCTTTTGAGGATTCTGGTATCTGTATTATTGTTTTGTTCTAAGTTGTCAGTAGTATTTCTTCTCTTAATATGTGGTTATCACTGCAAATATGAGTAAAACCAGAGCTGTGAATTTCTTGTTTCGCTGAGTTTTGGTGCCTTTTGAATGAAGTTTTAACTCAAAATCAGCTAGTTTTGTATATTCTGTGTGTTGCCTGGATTTGTCAGGCAATTATTGCAGCCATTTTGAGTCAGCATTGTCCTTTTTTTAGAAACATTTTTCTTCCATATAAGTATCTGTTATTAAAGTCACATGATACAAGTTGAATATTGGTCGTGTGTTTTTACTATAGTCATAACGATATGCTGAATAGTTTCTCTTACTGAGATGTTCTTTTGTGCTGCATCCCTTTTCTCATCCGTTGCACGCTTCTGTGATGTAGTTCATTACGTTTTAACATCTTTTTCCTAAAACCTGCTGCCAAGAAAGACTTCAGTTTCAATGCCAAGGAAACAAGATAAGTACTGAAAGCTGTGGAGGCCAAGTCACTGAATATATTCAAGAAAGAAATTGATACAATTTTAGATTTTAAAGACATCGAGGGTAATGGGGAGAAACTTGGAATATGGCTTTGCAATGAAGTATCAGTCATGGTCATATTGAACAGCAGAGCAGGCTCATAGAGCTGAATAACTACTCTAGCTCCTGGTTCCTGTGTTTCTACTGTGTAGTCCTGAACCTTAGCATTGTAATAACATTGAATTAAATCAAAACAGATCAGGTTCATCCCTTTTTCCTATCTTTTATTCGATTCAATGGTATAGGGTGTATTATTTTCTAAGGTGAATTTCCTTTGCTTGTATTAATTGATCATAAAACAGAGTTATGGGGTTTTTGAAGGCTATTCACAGAAAACATTTGTAATTTGCATGCTCACTTCACACTTCCTATTTAGACTGCTTTTGAGTGAGTTTTGAAAATAATGCTATTTTTTATTTTTGTTCACTGAGTTTTTTTAATAATGCAGTTGAAATTAAGCTATCCATGTAAATGGATATGCTTTCTTATTAGGTCATAATTCACTTATTCTCCACTCTTCTTCAAATGCAGTTTGAAGCCGGTAACATGAAAAACTTAGTGCTGAAGATTATCCGTGGATCCTACCCACCCGTATCTGTCCATTACACTTACGATCTGCGTAACTTAATGTCACAGTTGTTTAAAAGAAATCCAAGGGATAGACCTTCAGTAAGCTCTCTATTGAAGAAGCCATTTCTAGCTAAAAGAATTGACAAGTTGCTTTCAGCGGACGTGAGTATTGTGTCTTGCACTTTTATTTTAAACTGTAAAAATAATTATTAATTTTAGGCCCAATTTTTATCATAGAATACCCACAGTGTAGAAGCAGGCCATTCTGCCTATCGAGTCCACAACAACCCTCTGAAGAGCATCCCACCCTACCCCTACCCAATCCTTACCCCTACCCTGTCCCTGTAACCCTGCATTTTGTATAGCCATTCCACGTAGCCTGTACATCTGTGGACACTATGGGCAGTTTAGTGTGGCCAAACTATCTAATCTGCACATTGTTGGAATGTGGGAGGAAACCAGAGCACCCTTTCAGAAAGCTTTGTTTTTGAAAAATGGTTACATTGTGACATTTTACATTACTGAAGACATATTTTTGGATACGCAATGTGTGGGAGAAATTTAGCATGCAGTTCATGTCTTACCTTTGAGAGTAGAGAATGGTAATTTGGAAGACCATTTGTGTATTTTCCATGATTCTTATCCCCCATTTTTGTTCTTTCACAGCTAGTGGTGGAGGTTCAGTATGCACTTTTGTGCCTTGGTCTGAACTTTGTTAGGACTGTGGCTGAAATGGTAAAGGTGTTGAGAATTGTGCAAGGTTAGAAGAAAAGGTAAATGAAGTTGCCAGAAACGCAAGGATTGGGAAGGTTTTAGAATACAGCAAAGGAGGACCAAGAAAATGACAGACAAAGAATTCAATATGAATGTAAATTAGCAAAAATCATAAACGGTTTGTAAAATGTTTATGTAGTTACATAAGAGGAAATATTTGCCAAAATAAATGTGCATTCATTACAGGCAGAGTCAGGAGAATTTATACTGTTGACTAGAGAAATGGCAGAGAAGCTAAATGACTACTTTGTGTCTGTTTTCACTGAGGAAGATATTAGAAATTTCCTGCAACTAGAAATGCGAACGGATCCGCAGAATGAAGAGTCAAAGAAAATTAGCTTTTGTAAGAAGATTGTACTGGAGAAATTAATGAGGCTAAAAGTTGATAAATCCCCAGGATCTAATAGTCATTATCTGAGAATGGAGAAGATGGCTGTAGAGATACTGGATGCATTGGTGATCATCATCCAAAATTCTACAGATTCTGGCATGATTTCTGTGGTTTAGAAAGTAGTAAATGTGACCCACTATTTAAGATGGGAGTGAGAAAATAACAGAATTACAGCCTCTATTAGCCTTACCTGTTGCAAACTTGATGGAGTTATTTGAGACTGTTGCTAACAACACCAACTACACCAAGATTACTCAGATTTACAAAACATCAAGGACCTCCAAGGAAGTTAGGTAACAAAATTTAAGTGCTATATAGGAAGTGACATACGAGTGTGGATTAAGAATTGGCTAATAGGTAGAAAGTAGGAGTAACCTGGTCATTTTCATGTGGTAGATTGATTAATTGGAGGACCACAAGGATAAGTACTTGGAGCCCCAGCATTGCAGGGTGAATGTCAATCATTCGGATGTAGGAACCAAATATAATATTTTCTAGATGACACAAAGAAAATGGCAAATGAAATGTAATATGGAGAAATGTGGGGTAAGAGGAGCAAATGTGCTGAAGAGTACTTAAAAGCTAAGACAGCAGAAAGTCTAGATGTACAAATACTTGGGTAGCCCTTGTCAACAAATCACCTGAAGGCTTACAAGCAGGCGTTACAAGTAATTAGGAAGGCTAAATGGTTTTGTTTTTATTTATTCATGGGATGTGCACATCACTGACTAGGCCAGCATGTATTGTTCGTCTCTAATAGCCCAGATGGCAAAAGCATTGCAGTGGATCTCAAATCACATATAGTGTGGACCAGGTAAGGATGGCAGATTATCGTGCCTGAAGGACATTAGTGAGCCAGATGTGTTTTTATGACAATCGGCAGTGACTATTTGGTCACTATTAAGCTACCTTTCAATCCCAGATTTTTATTGAAGTCAGATTTCACCATCTGCAACTTGGGATTCAAACCCGTTCCTCGAACATTAGTCATGGGCTTTTGGTTTGCTAGTCCAGTGACGTTGCCATTATGATACCAACTCTATAAGTTATAGTTTCTGAATCCAACTGTGAACAATCAGATATTCCCTTCATAAAAACACTGGGCATACCCATAGGTTAGTACAGCAACCACAAGACCCCAGTTTAGCATCACTTTAGCAAGCACGAAGTACTGACATAGGCAGCAATGCCCATGTGACAGAAAAGGTTAAACTTAAAAAATTTATATTTTTGCATTTACACTATTATCCCTAATGTAATTAATCTCTCCTACCTTTCATCTTATTAAACCATTTGTTCTTCCTACCATCCTCCACCCTTGCCCTGCCTCTATACTTGCCTCTAGCTTGATCCAGTTCCCATGAAAGGTCATTGTTCTGAAGGGTTAACTGTCTTTCTATTTCCACAAATGCTGTATGACCTATTATATGTTTCGTGTTTCCACGATGTACAGTATTTTGCTTTGATATTCAACCGGCTCCCTGTCCTGTGCAGGGAATTCTCCTGAAATCCTGACTGACATTTATCTTGGCTCACGTCGCTAAATGCACCTTATTTGACCATTTATTTCACTGTTGCTTCCGAACATTTGCTGCATGGAAATTGCTGGCATGTTTCTCCTGATTACCATGAAGGCTACACGCAACAATGTTTCTTTGCCTGCAAACCACTTTGTGATGTCCAGAGGCTGTCATTGTTTTGTGAATGCGGATTATGTATTTCTCATTCCCGAGAGTTGAATAAATACATGAGGAATAGCAGTGGCTCAAAGCACTTCCTTTCTTTGAACCTTACTCTACAATGTTGGTTTTCATTTAAATTCAAGATTTCACTGGATATATGCAAAGCACCAAAAAATAGAATGCGGTACAAAAAAGTAAGGATGTGCAGTGTGTATTGCTATCAATTATGTCGTGCAGAAGAGTTAACAAGTCAGGATTATATAACAATCCTTGTCAGCCTTTGAGACTTTTGAATTCAAGACTGAATGAAACTTTGCATGTTCTGAGATCTTTGCCTTTGTCTCTTCCTTTACTTTGCCTCAATTTTGCTGACGTGGCATAATTGGGTGTTTTATTCCTTGAAAATTATAAATTATAATAGAAATCTTTAAGATATAAAGGGAATCAAAGAGGGCGGAAATCAGATTTCCATTAGCTAAGGAGAAGGGAAATAGCTTAAAAGATAGAAATGAACCTTTCTCAGAAGTGAAATTAGAAAATTCTTTTACACAAAAGGCAAGTAGAAGTTTGGAACAGTCATGCCCAAATGGCAATTGATGCTTCATCAGTTAACTGCAAGTCAAAAATGGGTTCACAGAAATCTGTCACATATTAAGGCCTTTGGAGTAAAACTGGATATTATACATGACAGATCAATCATGATATAATTAAATGCCAGGACAAGCTTGTTGGGCTAAATACTGTACTCCTGTTCCTATGATCCTAACCTGAGAATAGAGGAGGATTCTGACACTGAAAACTAATGACCTTTCTCACTGGTGACTTCACTCCAAAGTAGGAAGGACAGTATAGGATGCTAAAGTCTGTATCCGTAAGTACTGTGAAACAAGGAAAGCAAAATGTATTCTGCAGTAATCTGAGAGAATTGTGCATTGTTCATGCATCTCAGTGAATACAAATTTCGGGGTCAAGAATGAATGGATGAGAAGGATTGTTGAAGTGCTATAGGATAAAATTTCCAAACACTTGTGGGGTATAATGCTTTAAGTACTTGCAATGTGTGAAGAGAAACAAAAAAGACCGAATGGTAATTCTTTATTTTCTGTCCCTGATATCTCTATTTCTAGCACATTATTGAAGAATTTGGTCATACAGTTGTACATCAAGTTTCAAAACCAGTTATCCCCAGTGCAGCAGGTAAAACACTTTTTTTGTTTTAACTTTCTCATTGTAAATGCCTGCTTTATCTATTTAAAAACATTTTTTTTTTAACTTTGTGAACTTTAAAATATTCTAATCTTGTGCTAAAGGACAATAAGATCTCCCATGTTCCAATGAGTCTAGAATTACATGGAGGTCAGACTGCGTAAGGATGACTAATGTCCTTTATTGAAGGAAATCTGAGTACCAGATGAGCTTTTTTACAACAAATCTATTATGGTTGTCATGCTCACAATACTGAGACTGGCTTTATAATTCACATTACTAACCAAATCATAAAATTCCACCACCTGCTATGGTGGGATTTCAACTTTGTCCTAGATCAATAGTCTAGGTTTCTGGATTAATAATCCAGTGACACCACAGAGCCATGTAAGTGTTATGACAGAGAAAGAGATCATTGAGTCCACAGTGACTGTGCAAGTTTTCAAATGAGCATCATTAGCATACTAATCGACTGCCTTTTCCAGAAGTTGATGTAGGAGATTACACAGGGAGCTTTCAAATCTTTATGCTGTGTTGTCATCAGCCATGCTCATCTCCTCCAGAAACTATAGTTCAAACAGCACATCATCTCTGGTTTTATCCTGATACGTTGAATGCCTTTTCCCAAGGACTCAATTGCTCTTCAACATCTGCTAACTGCTTGAACATATTCTTCCAGACCTGCCAGAACCAATTTCCAGGTACTGGTCTTGTTAATAGCCAACTTCTGCTTTCCTTTAAATATAATGCTCTGGTCACTGTTTCTGTAGGAACCAGTTAATTAAGAATCATCCAGCAATTAGCCTCCAGGTCTGGTCTCACAACCAAACAAAACCTTTGGAACAGCTTGTAGTAAGAGGCAAAGAACAGACCAAACAAAGTTTTGTTTGGTCTATTCTTTGCCTGTTACTACAAGCTGTTCCAAAACGTCCCCAAGTAATCATCAGCTCCAAACCAAAACTAATAGAGTAAAAATAATGAAAAATACCAGCGAGGGTTCTTATACTAGAAGTTCCTTCACATCTCAGTTTTAAATGAGTGTCCCCTTATTCTGTAACTGCTTCTTCTAGTTCAAAATTGGATCAGCCTTTGGATCTTAAAAATCTGATGGCAGCACGGAGAAGACCGCAGTTATTACAGTTTCATGTGCTCTGACAAGGTGCCAGGGCTTCTCTTCAAACTGCTGAATGCCTTGTGCTGATTCTGCAACTATATTGGTGATGGGTAGAGAATTCCAGCACATTGAATGGTATGTCCCAAGTCGGAATAGTCTGTAATTTTCTACTTTCTGTCCCTGAGGTGTGAGGCAAGAAAAAGCAATTGAAGTAAGCTTGTAGCCTCGCATGCATTGGGTCACACTACAGTGAGGGTGTGCAGCTGATTCAAAAGGGTGAACATCAAATCCAGCCATCAGGTTGCTGACCAGCAATCTTTCTCCTGGAATATGATGAAACATCAGGTAAACTATCCTGAATTTCAGCACTGATTCCTTCATAGTAGTAGTGCTCAACTGACAATGTTCTGCAGGGGAACAAGACCAATTATTTTGTTTTAACACTGCTCTGATTAAGATCAGCCCACTGACACCTTTGTGAAGCCACCTAGCAATGGGAAATAATGGTGACCTTGCCCGCCACGCTTACATCCTGTGAAGTTTTAATAACTGTGCATAGACCCAGGGATGAAACCAAAACTCTGATGTGCTGACAGAATCACCAGAGAAATTCAGTTGAGGAGTGCTTGCAGAAAATACAGATCATTAGGTTGACCAGAAATCATTTAACAAATTTTGCTTATCTTGGCAGTAAAAAGACCAGGTCCAGTCTCTGGATCTGCAGGACCTGCACAGAAAATCACCAAACCAGCAGCCAAATACAGAGTGCCATTGACTGTAAAATCTGCAGAGGCAGCTAAAAAGATTTCTGATAAGAAACCACTGAAATACAAACAGGTGAGATGCAATAATGTAACGGTAACAGATGTGGATCTATTCCTGAACCAAGTAAATCCTTCTCATTACTGTTCAAGTGTTGTAGCTTGGTGTTTCTGTCAGTGATTTCATTTTATTTGCATCCTGTTTATTACAACTTTATCGGTTTGGAAATCTTCAGTACACTTTGTGTTACAGATGATTTTTGTTCTGTGTACAACTTTTCAAAGGTATTGCTTTGGTTTATAATGGAAAGACTTTTCATTGTAACTTTGGACTGGTTGATTGAGCCAACTTTGCTTTGTGGCGTTGAACTTGTCACAGATTTTAAACATATCTGTTGAAGTACTGAGATAACAAGGTGTAGAGGTGGATGAACACAGCAGGCCAAGCAGCATCAGAGGAGCAGGAAAGCTGACGTTTCGGGTCTAAACCCTCCTTCAGAAATGGGGGAGGGGAAGGGGATTCTGAAATAAATAGGGAGAGGGGGGGAGGCGGTTAGAAGATGGATAGAGGAGAAGATAGGTGAAGAGGAGACAGACAGGTCAAAGAGGCAGGGATGGAGCCAGTAAAGGTGAGTGTAG